TATCAATGAATAGGCTCTAAATAAGTATATGAGGTTTGTCCATGCTAATATTCTGACCAAACGACAACAAATAAATTGACAAATGAATAAACCGGCTGAGTCCTAAAGAAATGCCTATTGCATGCATCATTGCTCCAAAAGGAAAAAAGTCTTTTTAAATGAATCCCAAAACCAGGGCATAAATCTCTTGCAAACATCAAGACCAATTAAAAAAAAAATAAAGATTCCATCCTGGACCAATATGCAGTTCGGTTGAATCCAAAATTATGAACAAAAAACCATTATAACATAAAATAAAAGTACCCCACACCAATCAGACAAGCCACCATGATAGCATGGGATGGTAGAACAAACCATTTGAAATGAGAAGATTCCATGTGTAAAATGATTTAGAAAAATTACTAAGAAAAACCCCTCATAAATAGGAATCTCCATAGTGAACACCAACTGAAGCTTAAAATAATGAAGATTGACCAATTATTAATGAAAAGTGTGGAAATGTGATATGGTATATCATATTTGAATTTCCACTTTCTACTTTTGTATTTAATAGCATTAAAGATCTTTATTAAGACAGAATCCACATTTGCAGTTTCGTTTTGAAAAGTCTAACATTTCTTTCCTTCCAAGCATTATTAGCAACAACTTGAATAGGAAGAAGAGGAAAAGTTTAGCGACCGAACATGAAACAAGCTCAATATGGGCAAGATACAAATGAAAACTGCATCTCATATGGGAAAATCAACCCAAAGGTGTGGTCTTTTATATAATGTAAGAAAGTAAATGGACATTCAAAAAAGTGGCGAGCATGAATTTTAGGATACTTCTTGCAAAGAACACAAATGTTTTGTATTGCAAGGCCTCTGACATTCAAATTATCTATAGTAGTAAGGCCTTGTATAAGAACTTTCCAAGAGAAAGAAATATATTTAAGAGAATATCCTTTAAACCGAATTAACTTGCTCCATTGCAGACAGGTCCTTATATAGATAATAATAAACAATCATGTGAGCATATGTATCTTTTCATTCATCGCAAAGGGTGGCCAACATTGTAAATGGGAATATTGGTAATGGAGTTAATCCATTCCGTAGAAGCAGAACAATCAAAAGAAAAGACCCAACTATTTTCCCTAATAAATTTATTAAGAATAGTATCAAAAGGGAATCCAAACCACGCAAAAATAACGCCACCAAATTTCTCATAAAGAGAAATGTCATCTAACCAAGGATAATAAAAGAAGGATAGATTAGTATTATAAATTACCTTCAAAGAGATGCCACGTCTCAGTCTTCTTGAAACATTAAGCAAATCATTAAAAAATGTAGACATTCTGTGTTTTTAAATATGGAAGATGGAGCCGATATGAGAAAAAAATCCACTAAGAAAATTCATTTTTTCTTTGTTATATAATTTTCATATGAACTTGGCTTCGCACAAAACATTTAAAATATCAAGTTTTGGGAGACCCAGACCTCTATATTGTCTAAGTCTAGTAATAGAATTTCAAGATAGAATATGCATATTACTATTTGAATTACCAAAAACAAGAAATTTGTAAATATGAGATGTAATATTTTTCCTTAATCCCTTAGGGATAGAAGTGAGCCGAAACCAGTAAGCAAGAAAGCTCCATATGGTACTTCTAACAAACTGGTATCTACCAACAAAAGAGAGCAGCTTTTGTTTCCAATCATTTAATATATCCTTAATCCTCTCCAAGATATGTGAAAAATTATAAGCAATAATTCTAGAAGAGTGGATAACAGTGCCAAGATATTTCTAAGACAGAACTTTCTCAGGAAGCCTTAAGGATTGAATAATCTGACACTTCATAATTTGTGGAACAGATTTCGAGAAACATAGAAAAGACTTATGTAGGTTAACATGAAGATTAGTGGTACTTTGAAATTCAATAATTGTATCATATAATCTAAGAATGTTATTTAAAGGATATTTACTAATGACCAGTAAATCATCAGCGTAGATAATATGTTCTTTGTGTAGATACTTATGAATATTTATAGACAAATTCCAATTATTTTCCAACAAGCAAGAAAAATCATCCATTAAAATTGTGAAGAGGCACGGTGAGAGGGGGCATCCCTACATCAATTCATAAGATGAATAGCAGAATTCATGAAGCTCATTGTTTAGAATAATGGATAGCAAAAATTCATCCCACAAATTTAGAAGGAATCCTCTGATTTTCCATTCTCTCACAGAGAACTTCTCTTTGAACATTATCAAGAACCTATTTTAAATCAATTTTAGCACAAAAAAAGCTTTAAACTATTAGATGAATTGAATCCACACATTGTCTCATTTGCATCAATAATATTTTCAAAAATATCTCTTTAGGATACAAAAGTTGTCTGTGTTAAATGAATAATTTGTGATAAAAGAGGCTTTATTTTATCAACAAGTAGCTTGGAGATAACATTATACACAATGTTACACAAAGAAATGGGCCTATAATCATTTAGTTCCTTAGCCTGGGAACTTGAAGGAATTAAGGTTATTGCAGAATGCTTGAGCCTGTTGGGAAAGTGAGAGGTATGCAAGAAGTATTTAATTGCTTCAATACAATTATTCTCAACAAATTTTCAACAATCCATGAAAATTTTGGATTTAAAACCATCAAGACCAGGACTTTTATTAGATGGAATTTAAAAAAAACATTCTTGATATCCTGATTAGTAAATTCAGTCATAAGATGTACAATATCTGTCGTAGAAAGAGTTTTACTTATGGAAAGTTGATGTGAGTGAGGAGAAAGAGCAGATATTTGATTATTGGGACATGTTAGAGAAATAAGCGATGGATTCTTTCACAATTTTTTGTTGGGTTTTAAAGGAAGAATCATTAGAATAAATTTCTTTAATAAATTTATTGGCTCTTCTACAATTTATTTTGGGTAGAAGAATTTCATGTTATCTTCATCTTTCGAAAGCCAAGCACACCTAGCCCACTGCTTTATCCAGTTTGCGTTTGCGTCAATTTTTCATGGCACATATGTAGGGTGTCCACTTAACTGGCTTGGGACGATCCACTGCTCATCCATAGCACTCCATAGCTCAAGAAACTCATCTAAGACTTCTGGTACATATTCAGGACACGAAACCAAGGTCTGCGACAGTTCGTCCTTCCTTAGGAGAATCCGCCATTAAGCGGGACTACTAAGACATTGGACATGTTTGATGTCCATTTTAGTGTTTAAAGGTCCCTCTATATCCATTTAGTGCCTCCCTAATGTTTAAAGTCACAGAGCCCTCTTGTGCGTACTAAAAAAAAATCCATCGTAAGGCGGTGTTAACCTTCACTCCAAACAAATTTAATGTCAAAACTAATGTTGAAAGACCCAAATCAATTAATCTTAACTTTTCTGAGGCCATGTGTTATTGTTATGACTCCCCATGCAGATTTTGGAGGAATTCAGGTTGAGATTTTACCCATGCGGAGAACCAGGACACCCGTCAACCACAAAAACCCCAGTTTAAAACCCTTGAAATGTTCATTTCTGAGTTAAGGGGTTGTATTTTAGTAATGTTTTGTCCTCTATAGCTCACACATCGAGGAAACCTTCCACCGAATGATCTACGCAAAAAGCAGTATTTTCAAACCAGCCAGCGCCTAGGCACTAGCCCCGACGCCTAGCACCCAAAATTGCATCCGGAGCCTCCAAATTGAGCAAAAAAAAAAAAAAAAAAATTCAGGGCCCCTGAAAAAGTAGGCGCCACTTGGGTAACTCCTAGGCTTTAAGGGCCTAACACCATGACGTCATACTGGATGCCTATGTGTCAGGTTTGCGGGGTCTAAGCGTTGGTCCATATAGATGATGCGATCTTTCACGATTTTTTATGTTGATTTGGCTCAGTGCACCCCACAAGGAGCAGAAATGACAAGGATTTCCTTGGTTATGGGAGATTTGCTTAGATGGGAGATAAAGAGGGTGATTATGCCTCTTTTAGCCCTCTTTTAGAAGCTTCTAAGGCGAGGTGGCAAAGCTATTTTAGACAAAAATGGAGGGAATAGGGGTCGGTTAGCTTATGTCCCTTGAGCTCCCCCATTTTGAGCTATCTCCTCAGCTCAACACTTTTTGGCCTCCTCCAGTTGAACTCTGTTTCTTTCTTGGAGCTAGGGTTTCTTCTTGAAGGCCTTGAGGAGAAGAGCTTGGGTAAAAGTTGAGAGTGAAGGCTTCCTTCATATATATATATATATATATATATATATATTAGTCTATTTCATTGGTTGCGGTCTTTCGTGTAAGTTCCTCGGGTCGGGAGTTCGATCGCTGCGTATGATCGAATTGCACACTTTCTGGAAGAGGGGTCCGCCACTCGACCAGACTATGTGATTGATTGTCGATCAACCTTTTAAAATACACACACACACACAAACAAACAAACAAATATATATATATATATTGGGGCGTTTGCAGAAATAGCGGGCAATTATTCTGTATTTACATATCTCACATCCAAACCTTCATATCTATACACATACCACTTTCCTATCACATAAAACCTATCACAAATTATAACTATTCACAAATCAAATCTATTATTTCATGCTTGGGTAAAATGGTTAGCAGGTAAATATTAAAATTTTGATGTAAGATTGGTAAATATAAAAGCATGCTTTGTTACTTGCTTAAATTTCCTTTTTTCTGACGTTTTGTTGCTTTATATCCAATTAAGAAACTATGCATTCCAGCGCTGGTATGAAGCTTTTTGATTTGTACATAGTTTCTGCTGCTATCATAAATTAGACATAAAGTTTTCACCCCCTCCTCTTAATTACTGCATTCACACGCATATTCTTGTTGATGTGCTGTTGCTTTCAGCTCAAGCTTTACTATTAGATGTGTTTGCTACTCCTAATCCTACTGCATAATTTCAGACTTGAGAATGTTACCAGCCTGCATAAATAAAAACATATTCTGAAAAGAGAGCTCTTGTTGATCGCACGAAAATTTGCTTGCGGTATCCGATCTGGAGTATTGAAATGCATTTTATTTTATGTTTTTATTGTTTAAAGTGGGGTCTACTCAAAATTTTCTACGGCTCAGATCGGACACCGCACACACAAATTTTTTGTTTCCTCGCTTTATATACCACCCAAGCTATGCCATGCTTATTACCTTTAACCCTAGCCTCCTCCACCTCCCCTCTGCCATGGCCTCTCGTCTTTTTGTCCTCCCCTTCCTCCTCTTCCTCCTCCTCTCCATAACCACCGCTTCTCCTCCCAACCAAAAGAAGCTCAGAGAAAAGCAAAGCCACCTCCACTTCTACTTCCACGACATCCTCAGCGGCCGCAACGCCACCGCGGTTCGAGTCGGCAAGGCCGCCCCTCCTCTCTCCGCCTTCGGCATGATAACCATAATTGACGACCCGCTAACCGAGGGTCCAGACCGGAATTCCAAGCCCGTGGGCCGAGCCCAAGGCCTGTACGCGGCGACGGCGCAGGAGGAGGTGGGCCTCCTCATGACCATGAACCTGGCCTTCACGACGGGAAAGTACAACGGCAGCGTTCTCTCTGTACTGGGCCGCAACCAGCCGCTCCACCCGGTGAGAGAAATGCCCGTCGTCGGCGGCAGCGGTCTGTTCCGGTTCGCGAGGGGGTATGTGCTGGCACGCACTCATTGGCTTGATCTCACCACCGGCGATGCCACCGTGGAGTATGATGTCCACGTCATGCATTATTGAGTGTTCCTGTCCTTGTGCTCTTTGCTATATTTTTGACGCTTTAAAGTGAAACTTTACTTATTAGCTTTTGGATTTTTCATTTAAGTATTATTAATCAGTGTTGGGTAAGAAAATGTAAAAAAAATAAATTTCTATTTATTTTAGTTTTAAAAGTCTAAATAATGATATATATATAT